GTGATGTGAGCAAAGTTTTGATGCCTCCTGGTGAGTTTTTCTCCCTAATGGTTTTTCTGTTACATCTTCTGGCTGGTCCCGCATACTTTTTTATTCCATGTCTGAAACCCGAAGCAAACCACGGTGCTCGGAGAAGGGCTTGTCTGCGGATTCATGTGTGAGCCCTGCGGTAGTTGTATGTTTTTGGAGTGATGTGTATTCAGGGCAGATACCTGAACAGTGCGTAAAAGGCGGTGCAGAATGCTTACCGATTCCGTCGTCGCGTCGTTTTAAACCGTCAGCAACGCCGCGCTAACAATCAAGTCCGTGGACACGCCCTCCACAGGCGCCATCGCGTCGAGTGTGTCTAAAACAGTCGTAACGAAAATTGGCCAGTCAAATCTTCAATTAGCTGTAACGCTCATGGTCAAAGTAAAGTATGGAAGCATTATCTCTAATAGTAAAATATGAAAAGCGAAACCAATGCCTCGATAGTTCCCAACCTTTCGAGTTGTTTCCTGGTTCTGGAGATGGTCTACTTCTTATTCTCTTAACTGAATTACCATTGCAGAAGGAGGCATCAGTGCACTCGTTGTGATGAATAACCCCGTTGATGCAAAGAAAGCCTTCCAAGCACTGGCGTATTCTCGTTTCCGCACTCAACCGTTGTATCTCGAATGGGCTCCTGGTGATGTGCTCGGTCAAAACTCGACGGAAAATAAGGTAATACCATTCTACATTCTCTTACCATTACCATTCTCTCATATATTATCCCCTCTTACACTGATATTTTTCTACTTAACTTTTTGCTAGATCGCTTCCACAGTGTTTTACTCATATTCTTCAGTGGGTTTAACCTTTCAGACAATCCTTTTTACCCTCTGCACGCTTTCAATCCTCCATCCAGTTAGTCCTTTGATTCTCTATCACAGCTCCCTCCTCATCTTGATTGCATGAATTTTGCATGTGAACCTTTTCCATATTTTCTCTCGTTTTATCCTATTTCTCAACACCTTCCCCTATGTAGACCATGTCCTCATGTCGTCAACCTGTCGCACTGACGAGCCTGGGGTTGGTCTAGACAATGACATTTCTCTCGATACCCGGGGGCATCATCCTTGCTGCCTTTGGATGTATCTATTTCCCAAGTTTGTTTTTTTTAGCTCAATTACCAGACTCTCTTGTTTTCGATCTATCCCTTTTTCATCTCATTGAAACATTTTCATTTTTTTCCGCCTCCGGACTAGCAAAGTATTGCATGCGCCTCATGATCAGGTGCTGACACTCCTTGACGAGGAATCATGCTGTATAGAATGATCGAGGCATCAATTACCCATAACTCTTTGGCGCATTTATTTCTTCATGGTCCACCTGCGCAAGCAAAGCGTGGCCTTTACGTTGTGCTTTCTCTCCTCTACATGATCGCTCATGTCGGTTTTCTTTTTTTGAACGGAAAATCAGACTCTAGCAAAGTTCAGCTTCGCGAACCGGTAGCCTTTAGTCGCCTTCCGCCCCGATTTATAGCGCATGCTTTTCGACTGCATTCAATCGCGTCGAACACACGACTGAAGCGCTACCGTCGCAAAGTATGAACGCTGCCTTAAGCACAACCTGTACACTCAGAGCCATGGCATGTGTTATGTGAATGGGTCCGTAGCTGCATTAGCGTGTCACTTTCTCTGGTCATAAGTGCGCCGGAACGGGGATAGAGGGTATTGATACCCGGCTGTCGTCTCTACACTTCGTCCGCGCTCCTCGTAGCCAGTCACTCCGTAACCATAACCAAACGCGCTACTTATCTGCGCCCTTTCACTTCAGGTTCTTCTCGTCGCTCTGACTATGAGTGTTGACACCACCTGATCCATTAGCTCTGAGTGCATTCTGATACGGTCTCGATGCCCTCCAACCGCTTCCCGTGTACTTTTGAGTGGAGGAGGTTGCAGGCTTCTGCAGCTGCGGACCCTTACACTTCTAGCGTGGAAAGACCGTCCTTGGACTGAAAGTACAGTTTGTGTTTAGGGTAACTCCTTTGGGTCCCTTCATTCTTGCGATCAGTTTCCTTCCCAACCCTGACCAGGCCTGTGCTTTTATCTTTGGGACACTTTGATATGAATTGCCATTGCGTTTTTCTATTGGTTGCTTTCGTTGAAATGGCTAATTCGGTTTATTTAGGTCGCCGAAACTGAAGAGGCTCCTGCTGAAAGTAATGAAGGGAGACCAGAGAAGGAGAAAAAGAAGAAGAACAAGCGCGAAATGACGTATGAGGAGAAGAAAGCGGAGAAGCGGAAACGACGGGGGCAGGATCAGGATATTGCGGAGGAGAATGTCGGAGAAATACAGTCGACTTCAAAGGATGACGGCGATTCTCAGGAGGTACAGCCTTGCTATTCATTCGTGAACAGTTGAAGAGGTAGTTGCTTCAGGCAGCGAAGGCTGTAGAAGAGGAATGCAATCCTCCACAAGAGGTATCTCAAGATCAAGAGCAAGGTACAGAAGAGGATGTTATTGAGCCTGGCTCGACAGTATTCGTGAAAAATCTTTCATTTGAGACAAGCGAGAAGAGTCTTGATAAGCTCTTTAGGTGAGTGTATTATACCG